TTCAGTGTTGATTAGGGGTGTAACGGTTCACAGAAGTCACGGTTCGGTTCGTACCTCGGTTTGGGGGTCACGGTTCGGTTCGTACCTCGGTTTGGGGGTCACGGTTCGGTTCGTACCTCGGTTGGGGGTCACGGTTCGGTTCGTACCTCGGTTTGGGGGTCACGGTTCGGTTCGTACCTCGGTTAGGGGTCTCGGTTCGTACCTCGGTTTGGGGGTCACGGTTCGGTTCGTACCTCGGTTTGGGGGTCACGGTTCGGTTCATACCTTGGTTTGGGGGTCACAGTTCGGTTCATACCTCGGTTTGGGGGTCACGGTTCGGTTCATACCTCGGTTTGGGGGTCTCGGTTCGGTTCATACCTCGGTTTGGGGGTCACGGTTCGGTTCGTACCTCGGTTTGGGGGTCACGGTTCGGTTCATACCTCGGTTTGGGGGTCTCGGTTCGGTTCATACCTCGGTTTGGGGGTCACGGTTCGGTACAACAAGGAAAAGCAAAAAAAAGTTCCAAATGCTTAATTTGTTTTGCTGTTATTTATTTTTAACAGTAGTGCAAGTTTAGAACTCTAACATTTGGAATCACTAACTTTGTACACAGTTAAAAACAAACCACAAACAGTAACACACACTCAGATGGCCATATTATTTATATTGGCTAATGTCAAACTAAAAGGTTAAATAAGCTGAACAACTAAAACTAAAAATAAGAAAGTGTTTCAATCACAATCAATAAAAGGCAACACAGAACTGTATAACATCTCCTGATGTCAAAATATAAAATAAATACAATGATAAATATAAAACTAAATAAAATCTGTACCTTTAGGAGCAATGTCTAACATGTGTAATTAACTTGTGAGTGTGTGAGGCCATTATGCCTAAATAAAGGCACTCAAGCTTTACTCTATTTTCTTCAAAAAGATGAGTTTGTCTACGTTGTCAGCAGTGAGGGCAGATCTGGTGGCGGTAACGCGTTTCCTCGCTCTGTTTGGTTAGGCCTTATTAGGCCCGGCTCACTTTAATGCTGCGCTTCCATTACAGTTTAGGAACTGGGGTAGTTACTATAGTAACGCAGTGTAGGCGGAGCCGTGACGTCATCTTCAATGAGAGCCCCAGAAAAACAACATCAGCCGTTAGCTCTTAGCACTCAGAGCTCACAGCTCCTCATATCTGTTCAGAAACTAGACACAAGTTAAACAAGTACAAACCACAGACTGCCTGTGTCATGGCGAATACAGTCGCTGATTTATTTATGTCTGTAGGCCGTTGTTGTGAGTGTGGACGGTCGGAGCATATATAACGTTAGCTTAGCCAAGCTCCATTTCGAAAACACGCATTTTAAAAAGGGGTTTTCGCCTGCCGTCTGTCTGCAGACTCAAAGCATTAATTCATGGTTTTTACTAACCGGTTTTACTTCGGCATCATTTTGAAACATGTATTACAATTAAATCACGGTCAAATATGTTCATCTTGTTGTAGTTGTAGCCCCCTTGCCAGCGATTCTCTCTCTAGTTTAGCATACTCAGCTCGACTCAGCCTGGTTGTTCCTGGCCCTAGAACCACGATTTTATGGGGCCAGAAAAACTGTGAATTAGGACCCGCTAGCCGGTACTAGGCCAAGTGGAAACGCAACCAAAAACGGGCCCCGCACGGCTGGCACGCTTAAAGCGAGCTACCCGCTGCAGTGGAAACGCGCCATTAGTCACCTGCCGTCGAGAAAACCCTCTCGCTGGGGACTGAGACTGACTCGGATGTGATTGAGCATGTTTGACGTGTTAGCATACCGCACCGCTGTCGAACAACGCCGACACACCGTCCTCGTCCGATCCACAACTCGCACCCCATCGTTGTTGTAGTCCACAGGGAACCCAACATGTTACCACACAGCTGATTTAAAAGAAGCAGGTGGGTCTTCTAGCTCCTGTGTGTTGTGTGAACTCGCCGTAGATACTAACTTTTCTTCTTCGTGTATTGTGTTCGTTTTGTTCTTGTTCTTCATTTGTTATTTACGGGCGGCTGGCTTGTAGGCGCAATACCGCCCCCTGGATTATATATAGTGTAATACTGCCCTGAGTGACAGACTTTTTTCCTACTCGTAAAAAAAGGCGTATTCGCCGTGTGACTGCATGTGCCGAACCGTGACGTCCGAACCGCGACGTCCGAACCGTGACGGTACGGGACGAATACGGATACCGTTACACCCCTAGTGTTGAAGCTTCAGGAGGTTTTCAGCGTCTCCTGATATAAATATTAACATAAAGCCGTAAAACAATGGATAAAGATTAAAATCTGAGTTTCTGTTGGGCTGCTGCTAACGTTAGCTCAGCTTGTTTCTCGTCTCCTCACTAGCATCCTTCATTAGTTAAAAAGCACCAGGATGTAAAAAGTGTTTGGTGGAAACGTGGATTCAAACTGGATAAACAGAGGGTGCATGACACGCTGCTGAAAGGGGAGCCAGGCAATAACAGGAGAGAAACAACTCTCCTGAACATATAACACAGGGAAGGTTTATTATCACACATCCAGTCTGACCTTCCAGGCACTCCCTCCTGTTCTCCAGCTTCTCCAGAGCTTTGGCCCTCCTGAACAGAGCCTTGATGTATCGAGGGTTCATGTCCACGGCCTGAGAGCAGTCCTGCACCACCTCGGCCCACTTCATCTGCAGACACAGGGGTTCAAACCAGAGCTCGTTAAGAACATTTAGGACCTTTTTAGGACCTTGTTAAGACCTTTTTATTACATTTGTAGGACCCTTTAAGGACCTTGTTAAGAACTTTCTGAATGCTAGTTAAGTTTTACATCCCCACTGGAAAACACGAGTAAATAGGTTTTGAATGAGAATCAGACTCCCAGGATTACCTGCAGAGACACGTCAGACTCAGAGAACATGGTTTAAAGTCCACAGGTGTTTGGACCCAGGTTGGTTTTAGTTGATATAAAGTTACCCGGTTGCACTGGGGGTGTGTGTGTGTGTGTGTGTGTGTGTGTGTGTGTGTGTGTGTGTGTGTGTGTGTGTGTGTGTGTGTGTGTGTGTGTGTGTATGTGTGTGTGTGTGTGTGTGTGCTCTACGAAGCCACTTCTGATGCAGCTATCCCTAAATTACAACTTAACTTAATGAAATAACATCTAATTAAAGACTTTTAAAGGATCACTGAGAACCTGCTGCGAGACTGCTGCAAGCTGAGAGTCAGCCACACATTGACCAGAGACTGCTGCAAGCTGAGAGTCAGCCACACATTGACCAGAGACTGCTGCTAGCTGAGAGTCAGCCACACATTGACCAGAGACTGCTGCTAGCTGAGAGTCAGCCACACATTGACCAGAGACTGCTGCTAGCTGAGAGTCAGCCACACATTGACCAGAGGACTGCTGCTAGCTGAGAGTCAGCCACACATTGACCAGAGACTGCTGCATCTAGCTGAGAGTCAGCCACACATTGACCAGAGACTGCTGCTAGCTGAGAGTCAGCCACACATTGACCAGAGACTGCTGCTAGCTGAGAGTCAGCCTACACATTGACCAGAGACTGCTGCTAGCTGAGAGTCACGCCACACATGACCAGAGGACTGCTGCTAGTGAGATTCAGCCCACACATTGACCAGAGACTGCTGCTAGCTGAGAGTCCGCCACACATTGACCAGAGACTGCTGCTAGCTGAGAGTCAGCCACACATTGACTAGAGACTGCTGCTAGCTGAGAGTCAGCCCACACATGACCAGAGACTGCTGCTAGCTGAAGAGTCAGCCACACATTGACCAGGAGACTGCTGCTAGCTGAGTCAGCCACACATTGACCAGAGACTGCTGCTAGCTGAGAGTCAGCCACACATTGACCAGAGACTGCTGCTAGCTGAGAGTCAGCCACCACATTGACCAGAGACTGCTGCTAGCTGAGAGTCAGCCACACATTGACCAGAGACTGCTGCTAGCTGAGAGTCAGCCACACATTGACCAGAGACTGCTGCTAGCTGAGAGTCAGCCACACATTGACCAGAGACTGCTGCTAGCTGAGTCAAGAGACTGCTGCTAGCTGAGAGTCAGCCACACATTGACCAGAGACTGCTGCTAGCTGAGAGTCAAACACACATTGACCAGAGACTGCTGCTAGCTGAGAGTCAGCCACACATTGACCAGAGACTGCTGCTAGCTGAGAGTCAGCCACACATTGACCAGAGACTGCTGCTAGCTGAGAGTCAGCCACACATTGACCAGAGACTGCTGCTAGCTGAGAGTCAGCCACACATTGACCAGAGACTGCTGCTAGCTGAGAGTCAGCCACACATTGATTAGAGACTGCTGCTAGCTGAGAGTCAGCCACACATTGACCAGAGACTGCTGCTAGCTGAGAGTCAGCCACACATTGACCAGAGACTGCTGCTAGCTGAGAGTCAGCCAGACATTGACCAGAGACTGCTGCTAGCTGAGAGTCAGCCACACATTGACCAGAGACTGCTGCTAGCTGAGAGTCAGCCACACATTGATTAGAGACTGCTGCTAGCTGAGAGTCAGCCACACATTGACCAGAGACTGCTGCTAGCTGAGAGTCAGCCACACATTGACCAGAGACTGCTGCTAGCTGAGAGTCAGCCACACATTGATTAGAGACTGCTGCTAGCTGAGAATCAGCCACACATTGATTAGAGGCTGCTGCTAGCTGAGAGTCAGCCACACATTGATTAGAGACTGCTGCTAGCTGAGTCAGCCACACATTGACCAGAGACTGCTGCTAGCTGAGAGTCAGCCACACATTGACCAGAGACTGCTGCTAGCTGAGAGTCAGCCACACATTGATTAGAGACTGCTGCTAGCTGAGTCAGCCACACATTGACCAGAGACTGCTGCTAGCTGAGAGTCAGCCACACATTGACCAGAGACTGCTGCTAGCTGAGAGTCAGCCACACATTGACCAGAGACTGCTGCTAGCTGAGAGTCAGCCACACATTGACCAGAGACTGCTGCTAGCTGAGAGTCAGCCACACATTGACCAGAGGCTGCTGCTAGCTCAGAGTCTTCTCTTCGCCTTGGGGAGAGGTTAGCGTGTCGAGAGGTTAGCGTGTCGAGAGGTTAGCGTGTCGAGAGGTTAGCGTGTCGAGAGGTTAGCGTGTCGAGAGGTTAGCGTGTCGAGAGGTTAGCGTGTCGAGAGGTTAGCGTGTCCAGAGGTTAGCGTGTCCAGAGGTTAGCGTGTCCAGAGGTTAGCGTGTCCAGAGGTTAGCGTGTCCAGAGGTTAGCGTGTTGTGAGGCCGGGGAGAGGTTAGCGTGTCGAGAGGTTAGCGTGTCGTGAGGTTAGCGCGTCGTGAGGCCGGGTAGAGCTCAGCCTCAGTGAGCTTTGATCTGCTCGGGCTTCCAAACAAGAGAGAGCCCAAACCCTGAACATACTCTGAGGATCTGATAAAGTTTGTCACACTGCAATGTTCCCACTGAGGGATCAATAAGCAGGGTATAGGAATAACTGAAACGTTCACAGCGAACATCTCTTCCTTATCTCTTAACCTGTTAGCACTGAGCCTGTGTTTCAGGCCTCAGGCTCCAAAAGGACTTTCCCAGAACAAAGGACCATATCTTCTAAAAGGGGAACATTAATAATCTTTTTCCTCAAAGCAATGATAAACCTGTGAGTGGGATGTAGAAGAGTCAGAATCAATATAGATGTTTTTATTTTAAAGTAAATTCAGATTGAACACAGTAAAAAAAAAATGTAAATGATTGTGTCCGTCCAAAAATAAAACGTGACTCATTAGGATGGGTACCGAGCCCCGGTATTAAACGGGCCCCGGGGCTGAATTATTAAAGACCGTGGTACCGTTAAGCTCCGACGTTATCGGTCTTTTTATCGGTACTGGAGACATGTAAGAAATGTATGTCATGTATTATTGCTACATAAACATTATATTGCAGTTTTAGTTTCGCCAACTCCGTTTCTAATACGCAAAAAGACTGCAAAATGCATCTATGATTATTTTAGTAATTTCGATCTTTCCGATCCAGACGAGATCTCTCTCTCCCCCGTCTGTGTGCCAGGGTGCGGGGCAGTTTACACACGCAGCTGCTACATGCAGCAACACACGTTGGAGATGGCGGAGAGAACTCGCTCCGAGGCGGTTAAACTTTACCCGTCTCGATGCTCGTTGCCTAAAGTGCAATAAGAGTTCAGCATGTGAGGGCGGGAACACGAGCAATGTGTCTAAACCTTTATCAAAAGTGCTCCACATCCAGGAAAGCACCGGGTTCCACTGTCTCTCTAGCAGCTCTGTAGCTCCATCCAGAGGAATGTTTCCCCATCAGGTGTTCTGTATGCTAGCAGCACCACACGGAGTTAACTCTGTATGCTAGCAGCAACACACGGAGTTAACACCATGATACAAACACGGGTTAATGATTAGAGATAACTGAGTTACTCTTTATTTAGTTAAAGTTTCAGCTATTCTGTTTACAGTTCTGTCATCACATTATTTAATACCATTTGTTAAAACACTGTTGTTTCTTTTGATGTGAAATATTATGTATTTAATTTAAATAAAAAGCAATGTTAGTTTTGTTCACAAATTGTTTAGTTAGTTTACCTTTTTTTTTTCTCTAAAAGAACCGTTAAAACCTTAATGATACCCATCCCTACTAATTATAGAGAAACCCTTGGATGATGGGATGGGAGACTAAAAGCTTTAGGAATCCAAAGTACAACATATAATAAGTACCCTGTATCAAGATTGATGCAAAACAAGTGACCTTTTTAGAGAGATTTAGCACAAAAAAAACACTTCTGGGTCATTTGGGTGGATTTTCCATTTCTCTGGAACCCCCCTCGCTCGATTTTGATGATTGGCATCTCTTTCTAACCGTCAGAGCCAATGGAATCGAGGGGAAGTTCCTAAAGTCCATCTAAACATTACCCATTGGTGAATGAGTGCTGCGCAGCCAGAATGCTCCGGAACCGGAAGCTGCGATACGCTCTGGTGGCTATCATTAGCAGCTAATATCAAATCTCCGTTTTTGACATAAATATGGAAGGAATCATTTCAAAGTGACACCGACACATTGGATTAACTATTGGATTAACCCTCAGCAGCGTTGCTATCGTTTTAATGCCATTGAAAACGACCTTTGATCAGAATAACAGCTAAGGTGTTTGCTCCGTAATGCTACGTAATGCTACGTGTTGCGATGTCTGTTTGCTTCCCCTGTCGCGAGTTCTGATCGCTCAGTGATGATACTATACCTATAGAATCTGTGGAACCTCAGCTTTAATCGGATATCTTGTTTGTGCAGCTACGATAAGAAATAAGGGTACTTTTACCTTGAGTTCTGTGCCAAGTGTGTTAGCATCTTTTAGCTCAGGGCTCATTTAGACGCTTCTTGTGAGACTTGTGCTTTGTTTCGGTAAAAATGGTTCATATCGTCAGTTAGCTGAGTTTCTAACCGTTAAGTGAGTCTGACACATTAATAGGTTTTTAAATATTAAGAAGCCCCGAGACACAGTTTCGTGAAAAAACTACCCGCAGTGAACGCCCCCTCCATTTATCATCAAATCCCCCAAAGAGCTCACTGTAGAGACAACCTGAAACCACAGGACTTAGAAATGGGAACATTTATAATAAATATCAGCTTTAAAATGTGGATTTCGAGTTTCAGTACAAGGATAACAGGAAAGACCGCCAACAGAACTGCCTTCTCATTAATACACCCTGAACAATGTCCTGCATTCACCATCAAATCAACATAAGAGGAACTTCCCCAACCCCAGAACAAAATCCTTGGGGGAATTTAATGGAGATATCGGCTTTAAAGTATGGGTTTGAAGTCCAACTAGTACGAGGATAAAGGGAACAACCTTGACTGTTTGAAAAGGGAATGCAAGGAGACATCAGATCAGATTTAAAACCTTCACATCTAAATTGTCAGACATTTTAAAAGACCTTCAATATCAAAAACTGCATTTCAAGACGTGTCAAGGATCCTGATGAATCTTATTTGTAATGATGCTGCAAGGACTTCATGTTTTAAGATGAAGCTCTATCAAAGTGAAGCTGCTTCTAAATCATTCTCCATGTTAACAAAAGCTTCTGTACAGATTTAAAGGTCTCCTATTGTGCTATTTTTAGGCATATATTATGGGTATCAGATATATAAAAATATATTAAAAATGTTCGTATTGTTCGTACTTTTTACTGTTTTTATTTGATCTTTGTGTAAAAAACGGACAAACTTAAGATGTAAAATTACCAAGTCTTGAAGAAACCCTGTAATTACTGCCAAATGTCAATAAAAAACATAACAAGGCTTTAGCGGCGGAGAGTCTGACCTGCTGCTCGTAGGCGGCCGCTCTGTTCTGGTAGAAGGTGGACAGGTCGGTCTTCTGCTCGGTGGGGCACAGCGCGATGGCCTCCGTGTAGCACTGGATGGCGTTCTCATACTTCCCAGCCTTGAAGTATTTGTTGCCCTTATTCTTCGCTGCCTGGGCGCGGTCCAACGGGCTCTGAGCGAGAGGGGGAAAGAAACAGTTTCATCAGAACCAGGTTTATCTCCAGGTGGGTTCACACGTACGAGGAATCTGACTTGGTGTCGTGGTGCTTAAAAGTAAAACAAAATAAAATGAAACACAGATGGCGAACTATATTAAGAACACATTACAAAAAATATATAATTAACGCACAAAACAAGACAAAACAGAGCGCACCGAAGCAGCCATCTTAGTTTATTATATCGACTGGGCGTTTGACAAAATAAAAAAAATGGTAGATGTCAAGATCACTCTGGCTGTAGCAGGTGCCAATAACAAATTAACCTGATCAGTGGTTTTTCTAGAAGAATATAGCATGAGGGCGCTGACGTCACTTTGGTCTAAATTAGGCTCCGCCCACTTTCAGGTGTAAATACTGCATTAGAGAGAAGCTGGATATGATCGTCTTAAAGCTGCAGAGTCATATGTCGCTCCTCAAAAAACAAATAAACCCAGAGGTTTCTTTACTTCCTCTACGGAAAAAAGGAACTCAGAAATCTCAGTTTCAGGTCAGACCCACCAGGGTTTCCGTTAGCCGGTTTTTAGCTGGTAACATTTAATAAAAACCGGTAAATTCAAAACCTGCCGGTCAAAATGTCCGATGCTCCGATCATTATCGACTGATATTCACTCTTAATAGTTTGATCGGTGCTCTCTATAAAGGCCGATCAGGAGAGCTGGGTCTGATCGATATGGACATAAACGCGAGTGAAGTGTAACCGGACGAGAGAGAGAGAGAGAGAGAGAGAGAGAGAGAGAGAGAGAGAGAGAGAGGATCCGTTTCTCCCGTGTTATTATCCAAAGTTAATTAACTTTTGAATAATGTACTTCATCTACTGCAAGTAGTTTGTTTGAATGTAATAATGATGTTGTTTGAATAATTTATTGAAAAATGAATCTGAATTTTTCGATCTGTAACGATTATAAACTGAAGCGATATAAAAATGACTCCCATGAACTGAGTTTTAAACATCAGCATATCCGGTCCGAGTCCGGTGATTACCTGCTAACGGAGACTCTGCTGCACAATCCTTATTATTATTGAAACATGACGGTAAGTTTCAAATTTGTCCGATAAAATAAATTCTGCCCGGACATTTGACCGGCGAAAAAAAATCCTAACGGAAACCCTGAGACTCCCCAAGAATCAAAGCCGTCTCTGACGCTCTGCCATTTGGACGCAGACTTGCATTTCCCCAAAACGATGTTGCTTAGCAACCGGCGTAAACGGAGCTCCGCGCTATCAAGCAGTGAGCGTGCGATGTCCTGTTCAGATGACGTCAAACCCAACGGGATGCCATCAATAAACTCCACAGAATCACACGACACACCTACGCCATGACTACATAGTGATAGTACTACATAGTGCTGTAGCGACGCGTCGACTTCAAAATATCGTCGACGACATATTTCCGCGTCGACGCGTCGCTACACACACGTGGGTCACCCAAAGCAACAAGCAGTTCGCAATCGCACTTCTAACACAATGGAGACTGAAACGGCTACCAACTCCTCCTCACAGGATTGCGCACGAAGCCCTCAAACGAAAACATCTCGCCCTAGGTCTTCAAAAGCATGGGAATATTTTAAAGTTAGTCCAAAACGCAAAGATATTTATATATTTATATCTCACTGATACTGCTGCTTGACCGGAAGCAGCAGCTAGCTGTGGTGGCAACCATTAGCAGCTAGCATTTGCTCTCCGATTTAAAATGGAATTATGGATTATAAATTCAATATTTTTTTTATACATAGACGTTAAAAACCTATGGATTAACCGATTCAGCCGCGTTTTTTCTCATTTTAATGCCATTGAACACGTATTTTGATCAGATTGACAGCTACGGCGGTGAGACGATCTCCCTAGAAGCTCTGTGAAGGTACGTGTTGTGATGACTGTATTTGCTTCCCCTGTCGCGAGTCCGGATCACTCAGTGATGATACTATATACCTACATAATCTGTGGAGTCTCAGTTTTAATCGGATATCTTGTATGTGCAGCTACGATAAGTAATAAGGGTACTTTTATCTTGAGATCTGTGCCAATGTCCGTTAGCATTTTTCGCTCAGGGGTCATTTTGATGCTTCTTATGAGACTTGTGTTTTGTTTTGGTAAACATGGTTTGTATCGTCAGTTAGCTGAGATTATTTCCGTTAATCTGGTATAACACATTAATAGGTTCTTAAATATTAAGATCCCCTGAGACACAGTATCGTGAAAAATTTTTTTTTTACATTACGTTTTTTTTACATTACGTTTTTTATGAATTGAACAACAGAAAAATAATCGTTCGATTAGTCGACTAATCGATCAAATAATCGCCCGATTAATCGTTTTCAAAATAATCGTTTCCCCCCAGCACTACTTTAAACACAAGTCGTGTGCACGGAAATGCTGTTCACCCATTGGTCAGACATTAAGGGGGTAAAAACGCAAATCCCGAAATTTCTACCGGAGCCTCCGCCATGGAGCATCGGCACTTTCGGCAGGTTATTCTCATGCTGCTGTTAATCTGGAGATCCGCACCAAGCGGCTAAACGCACCAGGGTTCGATTCAACCGGACTATTCAAGGCAGGTGTGAACGGGTGCGGTTCGTTTGGGTCGGTGTGAACGCAGACCTCTGAAGTGAACTAAACAACCGGACTCTGGTCCGCTAAAGGAGGTGGTCTCGGAGCGCTTGCTAGTGAACTCTGGAGCGGTTCATCTCTGGTGTGAACGCAGTCCGCACCAAAACATAGGAAGCGTAGTATTTACGCGTCACAAGAACGCGGATGTCTTCAAAATCTTTAGCGAAAGAGTGAAGCAGGATGAAGTGTTGAACAGTGTCCTGTAAAAGTAAAAATGCTCCTTCAACTATACATTAAAGTCCGAGCCAGCTGTCGTCCTCCTGACTGCAGAACGTCTCATATTATGTTTGTTATCGCACGTTGTCTGCTTGTATACGCATATGCGCCGTAGAGTCTGTTGATCTCCAGATTAACCGCAGCATGAAAATAACCTGCCGATGCTTCATGGCGGAGGCTCCGGTAGAAATTGCCGGGATTTCCGTGCACATGACTTGTGTTTAAAATCCGTTTGAATTTGGCCCGTGTGAACGCAAACCGAACCTTCTGAAAAATGAAGGCACGCACCGAATATTGGTATTCGGGACAGCCCTAGTGCACAATACATCACATTAAACAACTAAGAACAGACGAGAAATCACTCAAACTGAATTCAGGTGAACATGAAACCTAGTTAGAGGCTAATTATGAAGCTAACTGTTGGGCAATAGGAATGTTGAAGAACCGGCACTAAGCGAAAGTGTTTAGGATTGTTTGTGTGTATTACCTTTTCTTCTATATGTATATGTACTAACTGCTATTCATTGTTTTCATTTGAATGTATTATGTTCAAACCAACATTGAATTATGGGAATGCCTGAACCCATTGATGCTGTTACTAAATCATTTCCCAATTTAGTAAAAATAAATATCTATTCTGACGGAATAACAATATCTAACATTACAATAACAAAGGTACAGATTAACAAGTATACCATGTTCCATGTTAGCATCTGGAGATATGCATGTGATGGTTTAACAGGTAATAAAGGCAATTTGTAAGCAGGTTAGTTAGCCTAGCTATCTGCTAACCTAGCTAATCCGGTGCTAGCTCAGTAAACTAGCTGTCACTGGGGGTAAAGGTTGAAATACTCCTGTAAATATATTGCTTTATTTTAATGTTATAATCGTTGGTCTTTTTATTACAATGGGGTTTCTTTACCGTGTTAATCCTGCTCCACGCGACCTCTGTAATCTGCTCAGATCTACTTTCATAAACTATTTGTCATATTTTATATCTCACTAAATTATATGTTGTGTAAATATTGTCTTCATTTACAATAGTGTTTAAAATAGTAGCTTCTACAATAGTACTTCTTTCTGTGTGTTTGTATGCAGCATTTATACCAAAACTAATTCCTCTCAACCTAACCATATTCTGTATCTAATTAGCCTAGCTAGCTGCTAGCCTAGCTAATCCGGTGCTAGCTCAGTAGGCTAGCTGTCACTGGTGGTAAAGGTTGAAATACTCCTGCATATATTGCTTTAATTTAATGTCATAATAGTTGTATTTTTGGTCTCTTTTTCTTACAATTGGTCTTCTTTACTGTGTTAATCCTGTGTGTTTGTAAGCAGCATTGATACCAAAGCTAATCATAATTCTTTATCTAGTTAGCCTAGCTAGGTGCTAACCTAGCTAATCCGGTGCTTGCTCAGTAAACTAGCTGTCAGTAGCGGTTGGTGTCCTTGAGGAAAACGACAGCTTTAGCCAGAAACCCCTCGGTGCTCCTCTCCCACAGGTAACACCCACATGATGGTTAACATGCTATAGTGGTGTTGATGTTACCATGCTGTCCTGCTCCTGGCCCCGGGCCTCAGGGCTCGCGCTGCCCTCTGGTGTCTTCCTCTCCCCGGAGCTCCTCTCCCCGGAGCCGGGCTCTCTATCCCCGGAGCCGCTACCCTCCGACCGGCTGCGGTTCCACAGGTACACCGCCCCGACCCCCAGCACCAGCGGGGTCCCCACCAGCAGGGCCAGCTGCCAGCGGGGCATCTGGGTCTCCACTGGCTTAGAAGAAGCCATGATGTCCAACACAGCGACAGTGTTTTAGCCACAAACAGGCGGACAGAAAGCAGCAGCGTGAGAGGAGGAGGGCAGCTTCTTCTTCTTCTTCTTCTTCTTCTTCCGGAGCGGAGACGAGGTCACAGGGAAGGAAGAGCGCCGGCAGTGGAAGCAGGTTCTTAGTGGTCATACGGTGGTACTACATCATCCAGAAAATGTTTTATAGATGGATAGATAGATAGATAGATAGATAGATAGATAGATAGATAGATAGATAGATGGATAGAGAGAGATAGATAGATAATAGATAGATAATAGATAGATAGATAGATACAGATAGATAGATGGATAGATATATAGAGAGATAGATAATAAATAGATAGATACAGATAGATAGAGAGAGAGATAGATAGATAGATATATAGAGAGATAGATACAGATAGATAGATAGATAGATAGATAGATGGATAGATGGATAGATAGATAGATAGATCATGGATAGATAGATGGATAATAGATAGATGGATAGATGGATAGATAGATAGATACAGATATATAGAGAGAGAGAGAGAGAGAGAGATAATAGATAGATAATAGATAGATAGATAGATAGATACAGATAGATAGATGGATAGATATATAGAGAGATAATAGATAGATAATAAATAGATAGATACAGATAGATAGAGAGAGAGAGAGAGATAGATAGATATATAGAGAGATAGATACAGATAGATAGATAGATAGATAGATAATAAATAGATAGATACAGATAGATAGAGAGAGAGAGAGAGAGATAATAGATAGACAGATAGATATGTTTATGTTTATTAAGGATCCCCAGTAGCTTTTGCTATCGACAAAAGCTACTCTTCCTGGGGTCCGACACTTAAAACAATACAACAATAATAATAATAATAATAATAATACAGCAACATTTAGGACATAAGTCCTGACATCATTAACAACATTAAAAACATCACCAATATCATCAACAACATGCGATCAAATTAAATTAGGGTTCACAGCAAGGGTACACGGTCATCAGTAGATGGCCCTTCAATCTCTTGTTGAAAGAGGCTCTGGACTCTCTGTCAGCGAGGTGGCTTGGCAATGAGTTCCTTTATACACTCTTAAAACTACTGGGTTAAAAACAACCCAATCTGGGTTGTTTCCTAACCCAGCGCTGGTTAAATATTGGACAGAACACACGCTGGGTTAATTTAACCCAGCAAATTGGGTTGGTTATTTAATCCAACAAATTGGGTTGGTTATATAATATAACCCAACAAATTGGGTTGGTTATTTAACCCAATGAAGGGTTCACATTGACTACACTGCTGGGTTTAGTTGTTAATGTATAATTATGAATTATTACTAATTATAATGGGTTGTTTTCCTTTTTATAATTGACATTTTATTGGCACAACTGATAGTCATGAATTTAACAAAATGATCACAATCACAATTGTGTGATTGTTGGCATTTACTCACCTCTGATCCTTCGGTTGTTTTCTTGATCAAATATATTCTCACACCAATGTAACAATAATGATTTATTCAAATTAAAATCACAGAATCAAAACACATCAAAAAATTAAATTCCCAGTTCCTCACACAAGGGTTATTGATACTAGGAGATGTGGAACAAGAGGGAGAGGAGAGAGAAAGGAAGAGATGGGTGGGGGGGATGCAGGCCAGTCTAGTTACAAGCATGTATTTGCATTTTCAGGAACTTCACTGCTGGGGAAACAGTTCCCTCGAGTTCATAAACAACATCCTGGAAGAATTGCCAAGTAGGCAAACACTGATTTGTATAGTTTATGTCAAAGACATAAAAACTCTTGAAACAGGTATCCACAGCTGCGAGAGCCCAGTCTCAATAGCCTTGCCTGAGATAACAACAAAGGCTTGAGAGCACAGCATCCCATCCTGAAGCAGTAGCACGAACGGGCACGACCTGGACGATTTGGCTTGCTCCAAATACTCCACCATGTTAGTTCCGACCTATGATGAGAAAGAAAAGAAAAAAGATAAGTATTTCAGGATTTTATAGATAGATGGATAGATGGATAGATAGATAGATGGATAGATGGATAGATGGATAGATGGATAGATAGATCATAGATGGATAGATGGATAGATAGAGAGAGAGATAGATAATAGATAGATAGATACAGATAGATAGATAGATAATAGATAGATGGATAGATAGATGGATAGATGGATAGATGGATAGATACAGATAGATAGAGAGAGAGAGATAATAGATAGAGATACAGATAGATAGATAGATAGATAATAGATAGATGGATAGTTATATAGAGAGATAATAGATAGATGAGAGAGAGAGAGAGATAGATAGATAGATAGATAATAGATAGACAGATAGATATGTTTATGTTTATTAAGGATCCCCATTAGCTTTTGCTATCGACAAAAGCTACTCTTCCTGGGGTCCGACACTTAAAACAATACAACAACAATAATAATAATAATAATAATAATAAAGCAACATTTAGGACATAAGTCCTGACATCATTAACAACATTAAAAACATCACCAATATCATCAACAACATGCGATCAAATTAAATTAGGGTTCACAGCAAGGGTACACGGTCATCAGTAGATGGCCCTTCAATCTCTTGTTGAAAGAGGCTCTGGACTCTCTGTCAGCGAGGTGGTTTGGCAATGAGTTCCTTTATAGCTCTATAAGACACAGAAGAGTTCAGGAGATGGGTCCTGGGTTTAGGTGCCCGTAGATGGCCTGATGCAGCTTGTTCCTGAGTTTAGGTGCCCGTAGATGGCCTGATGCAGCTTGTTCCTGAGTTTAGGTGCCCGTAGATGGCCTGATGCAGCTTGGTCCTGGGTTTAGGTGCCCGTAGATGGCCTGATGCAGCTTGTTCCTGAGTTTAGGTGCCCGTAGATGGCCTGATGTAGCTTGGTCCTGGGTTTAGGTGCCCGTAGATGGCCTGATGCAGCTTGTTCCTGAGTTTAGGTGCCCGTAGATGGCCTGATGTAGCTTGGTCCTGAGTTTAGGTGCCCGTAGATGGCCTGATGCAGCTTGTTCCTGGGTTTAGGTGCCAGTAGATGGCCTGATGCAGCTTGGTCCTGGGTTTAGGTGCCCGTAGATGGCCTGATGTAGCTTGGTCCTGGGTTTAGGTGCCCGTAGATGGCCTGATATAGCTTGGTCCTGGGTTTAGGTGCCCGTAGATGGCCTGGTGTAGCTTGGTCCTGGGTGTAGGTGCCCGTAGATGGCCTGATGCAGCTTGGTCCTGGGTTTAGGTGCCAGTAGATGGCCTGATGCAGCTTGGTCCTGGGTTTAGGTGCCCGTAGATGGCCTGATGCAGCTCGGTCCTGGGTTTAGGTGCCAGTAGATGGCCTGATGTAGCTTGGTCCTGGGTTTAGGTGCCCGTAGATGGCCTGATGCAGCTTGTTCCTGAGTTTAGGTGCCCGTAGATGGCCTGATGTAGCTTGGTCCTGGGTTTAGGTGCCCGTAGATGGCCTGATGCAGCTTGGTCCTGGGTTTAGGTGCCCGTAGATGGCCTGATGTAGCTTGGTCCTGGGTGTAGGTGCCCGTAGATGGCCTGATGCAGCTTGGTCCTGGGTTTAGGTGCCAGTAGATGGCCTGATGCAGCTTGGTCCTGGGTTTAGGTGCCCGTAGATGGCCTGATGCAGCTCGGTCCTGGGTTTAGGTGCCAGTAGATGGCCTGATGCAGCTTGGTCCTGGGTTTAGGTGCCCGTAGATGGCCTGATGTAGCTTGGTCCTGGGTTTAGGTGCCCGTAGATGGCCTGATGTAGCTTGGTCCTGGGTTTAGGTGCCCGTAGATGGCCTGATGCAGCTTGGTCCTGGGTTTAGGTGCCCGTAGATGGCCTGGTGCAGCTTGGTCCTGGGTTTAGGTGCCCATAGATGGCCTGATGTAGCTTGTTCCTGGGTTTAGGTGCCCGTAGATGGCCTGATGCAGCTTGGTCCTGGGTTTAGGTGCCCGTAGATGGCCTGATATAGCTTGGTCCTGGGTTTAGGTGCCCGTAGATGGCCTGATGCAGCTTGGTCCTGGGTTTAGGTGCCCGTAGATGGCCTGATATAGCTTGGTCCTGGGTTTAGGTGCCCGTAGATGGCCTGATGCAGCTTGGTCCTGGGTTTAGGTGCCCGTAGATGGCCTGATATAGCTTGGTCCTGGGTTTAGGTGCCCGTAGATGGCCTGATGCAGCTTGGTCCTGGGTTTAGGTGCCCGTAGATGGCCTGATGCAGCTTGTTCCTGAGTTTAGGTGCCCGTAGATGGCCTGATGTAGCTTGGTCCTGGGTTTAGGTGCCCGTAGATGGCCTGATATAGCTTGGTCCTGGGTTTAGGTGCCCGTAGATGGCCTGATGTAGCTTGGTCCTGGGTGTAGGTGCCCGTAGATGGCCTGATGCAGCTTGGTCCTGGGTTTAGGTGCCAGTAGATGGCCTGATGCAGCTTGGTCCTGGGTTTAGGTGCCCGTAGATGGCCTGATGCAGCTCGGTCCTGGGTTTAGGTGCCAGTAGATGGCCTGATGCAGCTTGGTCCTGGGTTTAGGTGCCCGTAGATGGCCTGATGTAGCTTGGTCCTGGGTTTAGGTGCCCGTAGATGGCCTGATGTAGCTTGGTCCTGGGTTTAGGTGCCCGTAGATGGCCTGATGCAGCTTGGTCCTGGGTTTAGGTGCCCGTAGATGGCCTGGTGCAGCTTGGTCCTGGGTTTAGGTGCCCATAGATGGCCTGATGTAGCTTGTTCCTGGGTTTAGGTGCCCGTAGATGGCCTGATGCAGCTTGGTCCTGGGTTTAGGTGCCCGTAGATGGCCTGATATAGCTTGGTCCTGGGTTTAGGTGCCCGTAGATGGCCTGATGCAGCTTGGTCCTGGGTTTAGGTGCCCGTAGATGGCCTGATGTAGCTTGGTCCTGGGTTTAGGTGCCCGTAGATGGCCTGATGCAGCTTGGTCCTGGGTTTAGGTGCCCGTAGATGGCCTGATATAGCTTGGTCCTGGGTTTAGGTGCCCGTAGATGGCCTGATGCAGCTTGGTCCTGGGTTTAGGTGCCCGTAGATGGCCTGATATAGCTTGGTCCTGGGTTTAGGTGCCCGTAGATGGCCTGATGCAGCTTGGTCCTGGG